AACTACGTGCGGCCTTGTTAAGATGCCTCAGTAGCGTTGCAGGTATTAGTTGCTTGTTGGCCCAGCTTCGCTCTCTCATCACCGCCTGTCGGTCATTTGCTCAGGAAGCGAGTGCATCGGGCCATCAGCTACAGGCTAGAGGCATCCTGTCAGTGACATGTGCTCTGCTGGAGCCCAATGATTTGATGTACCGTCTGTATACCGATATCGAAGGTCTCTATCGTAATCCAGCTCAGAAACAAGCGGCATGGAGGGAATTGCTCTCCCACATTGCTGCTAGTAGGATCCTCTCGACAGCCGCGGAGGCGATATCACTGATTAAAGACCTTGATGGGGTCAGCTCTTTGTCGTGGGTGGGAGAAGGGCTCAAGTATGCCTCCTGGCTCGGCACAAACATATGTCACATGGCTTCAAAGTTGCCTCTCGATAATGAGGAGGCTTGGAAAGCCATGGCTACTTTGACCGGACGCTCGTTGAGTCTTGGGTATACTGGTAAGATGCGCTGCTCCGACATTATCTTCGGTGTTAACGTGGACTCTAGACCATATGGTGCGGGAGATCTATCTGGGGCTTCTTGTAAACGAAGCAAACTACCAGCAGTATTATACTCTTTTCGACCATCTGCGACCGAATGAGCAAATCGCAATCATAGAAGCCATATTCAGAGACATTGAGAAGAAGCATTTTTCATCAATCATCCCTGACGAGACACAGAGTGTTTCGCAAGAAGTGCTTAGCGCTGCTGCAGCCTTGTGCTCCCTTGTCACGAAGGATAGGCCGCAAGTACAGGCACAGATTATTGATTGGCTGTCGAAAGGCCAGGGCGGCTCCATACATACTATCGAGTTACGCCGTGCACTGCTGGCAAGCTTTGCCCATACGACAGGTGAGAGAGAGCAGGAAACATGTCACTAGCTTGTGTACTGACTGACATATGTTCTCGAGATTTGATGGTCTCTTTGGTCACTAAGAGCCTTGATCAGTCCGGAGACAAGCTCTACATTCAACATGCCCCAATCAGATGTCAAGAGGGTACTGTGTCCCTGAACCTCCAGTCTAGTCTCGCACTGACATATCTCAGCAAACACCCAAGTTATCCTTCTGACTTGCGGATATCTTCAACAAACTGATCCGCTGGAGGTGATGCGTGTGGGTCGGTCGGGGATATTCCTTAATACAGTATCAAATCGCCTGGCAGCCTCTTCCGGGCGAGCGCGCTTTCTTGGGATGCTCATTGGTACAGCGATATCGCAACTGATCGAGCCAGCCGGCAAGGGCATGAAGTTTGACCTTGAAGAGATGGAAGGCGATGAGGCAAAGTGGTATTTGAGTTTGCTCAATCTGCAGGACAATGCAGGGTCCCCCGAGTCGATCAGATTTCTCAAGGGGTCGACACCGTCAACACAACAAACGCCTTCACAGAAAGTTCCTGCTATCAAGGGGATAGGTACCTCGAAGAAAGGCAACACAAGGACGGCCAAGATTGTTGCGATCGAAGAGATCGAGGACTCCGAAGAGGAATCCGAGGATGATGGCCTTGTTCCTTACGAGAAACCCGATGAGGATTTCTCCGATGACGACGAAGATCCGACACTGGTTCAGCGGAATAAGCCCACAGCACCTGTGTAAGCTCATAAAGCGGGTCCTCACCACAACACAACTAATTTGATTTTAGATACATTGGCGATCTTATCACCTACTTACGGGACACCGAGAATGTCGAACGCTTTGAATTGGCCGTCTCCACCGCCCCTTCCCTGATACGACGCAAGATTGGATTTGGTACCGAGCTTGCTGAGAATATCGAAGAGCTTGCTCTTGTGGTGGTAAGCCTGCAGGAACAGGGGAAGCTTTCCAAGTTCCACGAGTACCAGCTCCAAAGCATGATCGCGTTGATCGTCTCTCAGCCACTGAAGATGGGTCACTGGTTCGCAGCGCTATTCTTCGACGGAGACCTTTCTCAACCGCAGCGCTCTGCTGTACTGACCGCACTCGGCCTAAGTGCTCGCGAATTAGCTGGTAACGGCGAAGCCGATGCCAAAACTCTTGGTCTTCCAGCCCTGCCAGATGCCTCTTTCCCATCGAAGAAGCTACCAAGTAGCCTGGAAGCCTTCTACTCGACAGAGTCACCCATCGCAGGCCTGACCAGGTCACTGGCGCAAGCTTCTCTGGAGCCGCTTGCAGCTCATGCGGAAGACTCACTGTCTGGACCCAACGCCCTCAAGGTGCGCACGTTTTCTTCGCGCATGGAGGTCGAAAAGAGGCGCCAGCAACGTGAAGCGCAGCGGCAGAAGTCGACGGTCAAGGATCTGTACAAGGTGTTGGCACGAGGGTTCTTCTATCCCCTCAAGGGACGTTTCGAAATGATGATGATGCAGTTCGGCTCGTAAGCCCTCCCCCATGTCTAGCCTGGCACCTGAGAGCACACTAACTTCTTTCCTCTGATTGCTAGATCCACCGCTCCCTCGTACAATCCCTTTTACGTGCCGCATTTGCTGTGCCTGTTCATCCAAACACTGACCCTCGTCCTCTCAACCATGGGCCCCAACACACCGTACCTGCCCAACCTGACGGGAGAAGCCCTGTCATTCTTGCTCTCGCTCCACGGCCGCCCGCTCGCCGAAGACCCAAGCATCCTCTCCGCCCTCCTCTCACTTTTCCTGGCCGTAGTCGACCTGAACGTCGCCTCCGGCACGACCGGCGAAGAGCGGCTGGTCACCGAGTTTGCGACGCAGGTCGTGGAGCTCCGCGACTGGGTCGGGGAGGTCTTCGACCGGACGCCCGCCGTGCAAGACACGAGCGATCCACGCGAGCAGGTGCGGACGTTGGCTGCGGGCGTGATGGTGAAGCTGGGGGAGGTTATGGAGAGATACCAGGGGCGGTTGATGGGCGTGAACTCGGGATTCAGATATTAGATTTAGCTTTGTTCAGCGGATAGCGCAGAAATGCTGATCTGGTGGATTCTCTTCCGAATTCAGCTCTAGCCCCAGTGACATACATCCAAGGCCAAAATCCCACCTGCACACTGGACTGGACTGTACATGATACTTATTTTCACACGTACAGTATACAACTACACATACCCTACCCCCATCATAAACATCCCTCCTCCTCCCCCTCCACCATCAGAACGTGCATCCACCAAAATCTCCACTGCAGACACCAAACCCCAGCATACATAAACACCGTCCACTTCGTACAATCCAATCCCCCAAAACAACCCCCCGAAAATTCCCACACAACAGCTCAGCTGGCCGCCACCAACACTACCCCAAACTCAGTCCCAAAAGGACCCCCACCAGGACTCAAACCCACCCATCCACGTAAAACATACACTATGCCGCTTCGCAAAAGCACATACTGTACATACCATACCATACCAAATGCCTAGCATCCAGCCGGTTGTGCCATCCACCATCCACAGCAATAAGATGACAGTGCTAAGTCACGTACCTCCTGCACAAACCACAAAAGCTAGGGCAAGTTACCACTGCATCCACCCATCCCATCCACCCATTAGGCCCCGAGCACACGACCACGACCCCCCCCCGGCCTGGCAGTTATCAACAAACCCTAAACGACCCAAAATCAATTGCAAAGCAGACAGACCCACACAGCAAAAGCCCTAGTGCATGAGCATAGACCCTCAACTCCCCAGACCCCAACCCCAACACCTCCCCTTCTCTTTCTTTTTGCTTGACTAAGACTGAGACATACCATACCCTGTGGATAGTGGAATATGAAGTTTCGGGGCGAACGGAGGAGGGGATATCGTGCCTGTATGTAGTCTGCCTGTAGGGTGACTCGGGGGGAATGGGTGGGAAAGGGCGAGGGTAAAGGAGAGAGCGAGCGGGTCGTGCATGAAAATGAGGCGCACGGGGCAGGCAGGAGCAGGTTTGAGAGTTGCGGGTGGTGGTGGTGGTGGGATTCGGGTGCTTGCTTTCTACTTTTCTTCTTCTCGGGTTGGAGAGAGCCTAAAAGGCATTGGGGAATGGACAATGACTCGGGATAGAGTGCCTGTCTAGTCTATTGAGGCATATAGCAATGGGATGTTCAAGATTTGGATGGGCGTTTCAAGCAAGCCGAAAGAAAGTGCCGGATGTAGCCCTGCGACGCGGAACACAACTGATCGGAGAGCGTGTAGAGTAACAATGCCAATGTACAGTACTATTAAACAGCTCAGCCACCATTCTTGCCCTCAGAGCTTTACTTGGAATACACAAAATACAGAGAATGCAGATACATGTTCATGTCAAATCTTTATTAGACAATTAATGTATGTAGCGACCGTGGTGACACTGTTGCTTGTGTCTCTAAAGTGTATATGTTTCCAACCAAATTCGAACCATGACATAGGAAAGTGAACAGAAAGAAAAAGATGCAAAACCACCTGCCATTGCCCAATCCATGCTCCGCCCAATTGCAACAAGGGTATATCAGCCAAGCACTCAGAACAGGAAGAGTGCGCCGCCTTTCTGTAAGGTAAACCCCCGTCGAAGAATTCCAGACAAAACCCATTGTCAAAGCCCAAGAATATCTCGTGATAGAGAACAGACAGCCATATGAAAAAGGGCAGGCAAAAGACAAGTAGAAGCCAAATCCGAACCGGGTCAAACAGCCCTGCTGCGTGAAAATTTCCTCCCGCATTGCATACCATGCCCTGGAAACGCGAAACAAAATCAACCACTTCCCACTTGGTATCGGAGTAAGAAATCATGCCAGATGTAGAATAGAAACGACCAACTCCCCAGTCTAACAGACATGACAAAGGAAAAAAGAAAAAAAAACGATAATAAAGACAAAACAACCAGTGCTCTATGGTCATAACTCTGGGTATTCAAGACATCACGAACAACCCACCCAAGCCGTTGTACCATGTCCTGCTTGTCCTTGGGGATATAAGATAGAAGGGGGGGAAATATAACGGAGGAAATAAACAGCAAAAGAAAATATAAACGGGGTATCAACACTCAGCCACGTCGGGCGAGTCGGAAAAGAGAAAAAATGGTGGAAGGAAATGATGCTGTTGTACAAAGGAGGAGGCCCCATCATTGAGACAGGCCGCGTCGCACAATGTGATCATCGCGCGACGTAGAGATGAAATGTTGAATTTGCCCCTCTTCGCTGTGAGAGGTTTGAGAGAGGCGTTCGACGTGGACGAGGAGGGTGATTGAATTTACTCCTCGTCGTCGCCGGATCCACCCTCCTTTTCTCCTTTGTGGACCTTCTTGTGTCGGCGCAGGTTGGAGACAACCGAGAAGTGACGACCACAGCCTTCCACGTCACATGCAAATGCTAGATCCCATGCTGTTAGTTTCACAGAACCCCACGTTCGACAGATTCGGTCTGGAACTTACGCTTTTCGCCAGTGTGACTATACATATGGGTCTGGAGCGACGACGGGCGGGTGAACCGCTTGTCACACACCTTGCATTTGTGCTTCTTCTGTGTGTTGGACGGCATCTTGGAGCTAAACTGACTCATCATCGACTGGGGTCCGGGTGGTGCGCTTCCCGTCAAAAGGTTCGAGGGGCGCGGAAGGGTCCGCGACAAATGACCGTTCTCGTAGGATTCCGAGGTGGTCGAGCTATAATCGGTAACCGATGATTCCACAGATGCCACCGAGGCACTGTAGTAGGGGTAGTTGCTAGCGGAGGAGATCGAGGATCCCGAAGAGTGAGTCGAGGGGAAGCCATAAGAGTCGCCCGAGCCCCGCGCGCTGCGAGGACCATAGATGTTGCGAGGCGTCAAATCCTGGCTAAGCGCGACCATTCCCCGGCTGGCATCCAGAGCATCACCGAAAGTCGGGGCAGAGGCAGGATGCGATTGACTGACGCGAGCATCACTGTGAAGCAAAAAAAAAACTGTAAGCATATATTCGTTTGTTCTTTCCAGGCGCTCTGAGCAGCTGCGCATTGGAGGGTCATCTTACGCATGGGATATCCGTCGGTCTTGGTGCATGTGGGGAGCATAGCTCAAAGGTGCATAGCTGGCTGGCGCATAGCTGGTCATGGGGGAAGCTGTGGTGTAAGCGGGAGCTTGCTCAAATGATGTGCGTGGGATATCGTGCGACAATCCCATCATCTCCGGTCCGGGGTAGCTTGTGGCCGTGGCAGTGGAATAGTTGCTTCCGGCAACCATGGAGGGGGCGGAAACGGGGATGCTAGAGTATGACATCGACATCGCCGCAGGGCGGCTCACTTCCTCCTGCTTGACATGGTTGAGGCCAATCGGACTGGGTGCGAGAGCTGTCGCATATACGGGAGGGTTGGAGTGGGAGGTTGTTTGAGCGGCGGCCCATGGATCGGTGAATTGAGGAGGGGTGTGGTGAATGTTGTGTTGATAGACACTATCGAAGCCCATCCCGCCGTATTGGCGGTTTTGGTTTTCAATGACCATCGTCATGGAGAATAGTGGTGATCGCGCGTAGCGGACGTGGATAGTTCGAGGGAGGTAGCGTGGTTGACGTTGACGATCGGAGTATCCCTAGGAAGGTAGGGACACAATAAACCAAGAGCAAGCAACTGCGCGCGTGCTATTTGGTGGAAGGAAGGATGAGGAGGAGAGGGGAATCAAGAAGATCAGGTATAGATGATCGAGGGTGAAAGATGATCAACACAAGAAGAGGTAATGTGTTGGAAGAGAAAAAGGTAGGTAGCTGGTAGGAAGGTAGGAAGGGATCCGCGCTTTAATGTATAGAATGGAAGAAAGATGCGCAGGGGAGAGCAGCTGTGTAAATAGTCGAGGAGATATTTGGTTCTGAGACAGAGACAGAGAATAGTTATGTAGATGGCTCTTTGGTCAAGGACCCGACAGATAGGAAGAAGGAAAGACAGTCTGGGGAAGGGCCCGAAGGGGATCGGCGAAGCTTATGAACAAATACAGGATCTCAGCATGAGGATAGACCGCAGGGACGAAAGGAAGCCCTGGCGTTGCCGTGTTGGTGATGGGTTTAGTGCCACTGACGACGTCCCGTCGGGGACGGTTGCAGATCGTTCCTTTGGGCCTCTTAGGCTTCGAAACGGCGCCAATGTTGAAAATGATTCAACAAAACAAAAATTAAATCAATTCAATTCAATTCAAGCAAAATAAAATCACATTTACCAACAGAGAAAAAGCAATGAATTAGTGCTAGTCTTAGTTGATTAGTGTAGTGATTCGAGTGGTTTAGTTAAGTTTACTTAGTGGGTAGCAGGCACCGTAGAGGAAAAAAGTGGGAAAAGGGAAGTCTCCAAATAGGAACCAGTTCCTCGGGTGACTCTCAAGGTTTTGGATGGGTCTTCCTTATTTTTGTTTTCCCTGGTTGTTTTCTTTTTCGTTTTTCTTTTTTGGGTTTTTTGAGCGGGAGAGGAGAGGAGAGAGAGGGGGGGGGGGGGGAGAGGTGGAGGGGTGCCAAAAAAGAAAAGAAAAACATCAAAAACAAAAATTAATGATTTTTGTTTTTGGTCCCTCTCGACTTTCCCTTTTTCTCTTCTTCTCATTTCCTTTTTCTGTTTTGTCTTTTTTTTCTTTTTGTTATTCTTGCTTTTTCTACTTCCAATCACTTTCCATTTCTCGCCTTTCCCTCTTTCGACCAATCTTCTTTTCTCTCTTTTTCTTTTTCCCAATCTGAGATTTCCATCTTATCCTTTTTTGGTTCTTGCTTCTTTTTCCTCTCTCTGCATCGCTCCTCTTCCTCAAGCCATCTCATGACTAATAGATCTTTCTCAAATCTAACCTACTCTTTAGTTCAAATCTCTCTTTCTCTCCTTCTTCAATCTTAGTACGATGTACGTAGGTTCATAGATTTCTATTTTTGCATTGGATGGCGGAGAGAGAGAGGAGGGAGTAAGTACTCTCGCCCCGAGTAAATCTGATACTCAGGCATCAACCCCCGGCCCGCCAAACAAATCAACGAAACACAATGCAGCAGAAAAAATCCTCATTCGAAACACGCACGTCAATTACCTACGCCCCCCTTCCCCCGAGTTTTAACACCACATACATGCATTCATTTATTAAAAGGCACTTTAAATTCATACAGCACACAAAAAGAACCAATTGCGCCCGGCGTCAGGAAGAGTACTGAGTTATGACGAGAGATCACTTTCGAAACGAAGGTAGGATCTTGAGAAATTTGTTTACCATGTAAAACGGGGCAAGAAAGCAGCAGGGGTAGCGGCAAAAGATCTGAAACTCCGGCATTCAGAAAAGGGAACCACAATCATGTGTGTCAATGCACGTATGCAAATACGGTAGAAGACGATGATAATGGTGATTACTACCCCTTCAAGAGGTACAGTACTTTGTAGTAGGCTTTGACTTTTCCACGGTTCTGCAACATGTGGTTGTTTAAGATTGTAATCTGTAAAATTGCAATCGGTGTCTCTAATCTGCATAGTAGACTCGGCTAGTCTAGTTGTGAGTAATGTCTGGGTGGTAGGCAGTGAGCACTACTACCTATCTAGTATACTCCTTCCTTCGTACACGCACATGAGACAGGCAATTACAATAAATGCTCACTCATATAAAATGAGTGTTGGCGCGGGAAGGCGACTACAGCCACAAGGCAAGAGAGAGAGAAAGTCAATGACCAAAAGGGCAAAAGCAAAAAGGAGGCAAATGAAGAAGAGGGGAAATGGGAGGGGAGGGGGGAGGGGAGAGGGGAGAAAGAAGGAAAGCAAAGCAGAGGTGGTGGAGTTTCTCTATTGTGCAGAAGTAAATGCAGAAGGGAGAAATAAAAGAGCATGGACATTTGACATCACGAAAAGAGACAAGCAAAAAGCAACAAGTAGCAAGCAAAGCAAAAGCAAAGCATTAGAGTAAAAGGGAATGGCGTGTAGTATGGAGTCTTCAATTCAGGTACCGGGCCAATTTTGCACTGTGTGTCTGGTGGTTTAGTCACCGTCCCCGTCCCCGTCCCCGAGAGAGGTACGTACTCTTGACTCCATAATCCATCCATCCATACTTTCCTTCCCTTCTGATGTCTGTACGTACCTTAGTGAGTGACTGAGTGTTATGTGGCAGGCTGGCAAGTGCGGCAATAACGCTCCATTCACTGTGTCCCATTCAAGTCATCATCATAAGGGGCGGCGGCATTGAGCCGACAGACCTTACCCAGAGTGGTAGGTTCACTTAGGGGAGGCATTGAAGGTAAGTGGAGAGGAGGGGCGACAATTGAGAGAGGGGAGGGGGTTTGTGCCGTGTCTATACAAAGTAGTCCAATAACCAATGTCGGGAAAAGAAGACCAGCACCAAAACAGCAAAGCGTGGCACCAGGGAAGGCATGAAAAGGGTTTAGGGGCAACTGAAGCATGGATGGAATTGGGGAAAGACCAAAATCTACAGGAGGGCAGGCAGCGCCAAGAGTTAAGCTTACTGTGTAGATGCACTGATGCAGCGACCAAGGTTCACCTTGAGCCCTTGGAGTGTGTGTGTTTCAAGGTAGCGGGGAAAGTGGCAGATCACAAAGATACGTCAAAGGGTACACCCGTTCCGTGGGGGAGAAAGGTCACTCTGCTGAACAATAAGATGGTTGTTTTAAAAAAAAATGTTCCCATGCGTACTGTACCTGTGTGGACCAAGCCTTCTTCTGCTCCCCTCCCCCCACCCCCTACGTACCAACTAATCTCACGGAGTATGGCCTCTGCTGAATCTGATTGAATCATCTCCTGTCTCTTTTTTTCTTGTCGGCTCCCCCATCCAGTTCCCATGCTTTTGCCGTTTTGGAATCTGGTAATTTTGGGGAGTGGCGGCGGAATACACTACGGTGGCCGGTAACATTACAGCACGATTAAGTCGATCGATATGAAATGGAAGCACTCCAGAAGGGGATTCGAGAAGAAGGTTCGCAGTTGCACTCTTCAAACACATCACAGCCAAAGAATGGGCAAACGGGCTTCCTCCCCTCCCCCTTAACTGTAACTGTAGAAGTTGATGGGTGTGCGCGTCCAATGGTGGCATTCCACCCACGCCATCTTGCACAGAACATGTTACGCAAGAAAGCGGCCAAGACCTCCAAAGTCTCCGAGTTGGGGCAGAGTGATTGGTCCATCTAGAGTTGAAGTGGTGAGGGTGGTGGTGGTGGTGGTGGTGGTGGTGGTGGTGATGACTTGGCCCCCTCGGAGAACCCTGCTGCGAGCTGCTGCGGGCTTGTAGTATGTCAGTGATAATGGTGGTGGTGTCCAGGAGGCGGTATGGGTGAAGGATTCCCCTCAGGGACTGAGCGGAACCAGATGCATAGTTCAATGATATATTGGTCATCTACTATGTACAGTACGACTGACTCGGGCAGCCTTGATTCGATGCATCTATCGCGAAAGCGCAGTAGTCAGATAACCCCGCCGCAGAAGGTGATTACTGATGTATGTACATAGAGTATCTCTGTATGTACAGCGATGCAATGCGCGTGCGAAATTGATTCTTGCGAGCTCGGCAGCAGACAGCCATTCACATCGCCCGGCTTCAACCGGGATCTATGAGATGAAGCTGCATTTTTCCCTCCATCCATCACTCACATCGGAAAAGGCTGGGGGGGTGAGCGGGGGATCCGCAAAGGCTGTCGTCGGTCAACGGTTGACGATGACGATAATGTGCCGCCATCCATGAACTAGGTAAGCATGCAAGCGAGTCTAATACCTTTCCGTGGTTATCGAGGGCCATGACTAAAGAAACCACCAGATGACCGCACTGTGTATGATGATGGTGATGATGGTGTTGTTGTTACAGTAGAAATGAATGAGGCCCCCAATGCAGAATGACGACATGGCTTGAGGATGAAATCGGGAATTCATCCATTTTCCGCATTCTGCAGAGATGGCGCTCGCGTGCATTTCATTTGAGTACGGAGTAACTTTGCGATCCTTGCCTCCTCTTCCTCCCAATCCTCTTTCTCCTCCCGCAGCGAAAGGCCAATGTGGGTGGGTATCTCAATGCGCGGGCGGTGATGATGGAGTCGGAGGCTCCTTCGGAATGAAGCTGTTGTCGGCGTCATACAAATCCAAAGCTCAGGCCTTACGCGATGGCTAGTGGCCAACAAGGCCCCGCCTTGAAAATGGATAATGACGAGCACGGGAACATCGAGCATCAACCGCCGTCATCAATATCATCCTGGGGGTGCAGCATCGCATCGGCAGGGTCTCTTCGAGCAATCAAGCCGATATTAAAAAGCAATCATGCGATCGAATTACCAATCGCAGAGACACAAGGATGCGGTTTCAGCCGGTCGATGTCGGTAAATTGAGGTAGTATCAGTGTAATCTGGCCTAATGAGATGACATTAAATATGAGACCACTGAAGTATGAACAAGCCCTGGTAAATAGCTAATTTGCTACACAGTATGTGACTATGTGTGTGTGTGTGCTTCAAGGGTAGTAGTTAGTGGTAGACAGCAGCGACGGCAGGCGCAAACCATGTTGCGATTCAGATCGCAGCCACGTTAGCGGGATGATTTCCATGGTCTGACCCGCCAGTCCCTCGGTTCAAGGCTTGTCTGATGACATGGAGACTGACTGGCATTGGAACTGGATCTTTCCCATCTCTATCTTCGAGTTATTGCCTAGTAATTCATGTTTGTTATGTCTGAATCCATATGAAACTATTTTGATTTCTGCTTTTGCTTCTCTAGGATAAAGCACAGTTCAAGTGGCAGATAAGTTATTACATATTAGGTGACTGTCGAGATGGGGCAGATATTGACATAGCGTTGTTTTGTTTTTCCATAATCAGGATTCCTGCTTTTCCACAACTCTGATTGTGGATGTGGACACTAATCTGAATCGAACTATTCAGAGATCTTGAAATTGCATTGTCCTAAATGGTCGCACTATTGGACTGGATCCCCTCCACACCGACGTCAGAGCACGGAAGATACCAACCCGTCTCCCTAATGCTACTAGCGGCACGGAATCGGGGAACTTCAATTTAGCAACCAGGCCCAGTGACGAGGTTCGAACACATCACACGCAATAATAAAATAGGTTTCTCCAGTCTGTTTACGCAGTGTCCCACCGGTGTAGTGGAAAGGGACAATAAAGAAACAACTAACTAGCATGGACTAACTTGTTACTGAGTAGGAAAGAAATCTCTTCCCCTCTCTCCCCCACCACCACTATTCAATATTAGCGATGGGGGGCAAAGCGGGATAGAGAGGCGAAATATGTGAGCACGGAGTTGGAATTGTCCTTGCACCCCAACCCAATTACGTGCATAGGATGGAGAGATACCCGAGTCGAACAAAGGGTCAATGACCTCAACATCCGAGTTTCGTACCTAATTTGATGACGCTGCAATCGTTACCTCGTGGAAAGAAGGAGACCTTTGATCTGTTCCCTGGGATCTGGTGTCAACAGACCAATTGATTGACAAGCTCTTTGTCTGGGGTATTGTCGATAAACTTCCAGCTCTCCTCTCTTGCCATATGGCCCCGGATGAATCTGTATAGAGTCGATCACACAGGTACCGGTACCGGTACCGGAGATGGGCACATGGGCAAGTTCCCGAGAGCATATTCAACCCAACCTCCATCCATCCACCACCACCACCACCACCACCACAACCACCACCTCACAGTCCACCCCGTCGACAATCCCAGCATCCACCATCTAAACCCACAAGGCTAGGGAGATGTCAAAGTGGATGCTCGGGTGCAGGATTGACGGACGCCCACTTTCTGCAACCGCTCGGCTGGGGCGTTTTTTATTTTTTTTATTTGTTCGCCCACTTTTTTGACCTGGGTGGTCGGTGGCTGCTTTAGCTGCACATGGAGCATCAAAAAAGAAACTTAAAAAGGAAAAAACAAAGTTGGGACGATCGTAAGGAGGATCAATATGATAGGTACAGCTCGCTATGGCTCGGGACTAGCGTCGTTGTTTTAAGTTTGACTGGACCCTACTGATGGGATGGGCTGGTCAGCAAAGGTGATTTGACCAGGAAAAAGAGAAAAGGACAATGGACTAACAGGGACTGAGCGACAGGGGAATCCATTCCATCTCGCACGGCTGTAGAGTGACCATGCAGCGGTGCAAGATCCATCCACACATTCCTTGCCTTTTCTACCCCCCCCCTCCCAACCTCAAATCGCGCGCACGGGAGAATAGGTGAAGGTTCCACTGCAGTCCGACTATCAGATATGCAGAAAGACGGGGCACGCACCCATGAACGGGTGGCTAAGGGCTTTGCCTGGAGAGCATGATAACGTTTGTCTGGTTCAAACTCGTGATTAGAGTTGAAAAAAGGGACTTGAGGGATATTTTCTCCTGTCCGCAATTTCCAAGCAAGCGGTTCTTCGTTGGACGAAGTTGATGGGTTGGGATACAGAGTCCACGAAGAAGAAGCAAATTGGACGGGTAGAAGACCGAACCCTCCCAGAAAAGAATTGAGACTTGGCAACCTTCTTGAACCCCACTCGAGAGGAAAAACTGGGACCATGGAAGGGTGAAAGTCTCGACATACCGGATAGAGCAGGTGCATAGTCAAGGAGCCACTGATGTGGGCGCATGGAGACAGCGGCGACGGAACGTGGGTCGGGGAGGAGGAAGGAAAATTCCCCACCCGGCTTTTGGTACGAAGCACGAGGGCCGGCCATGCGATTGCCAAAGATTTCAGACCACTTTGCTCGAGTTCTGGACCATGGATCCCCAACTAGTGGCTCTTGGAGGAGCGAAAGAGCAAGATCAATGGAAACATCCTCCAGAACTACCTCACGAGACTCAGTGAACTGCTCGTACCCTTGCCGAGACACGAAGCAGGGACTAACCTTGTTCCGAGAGCCATCACCACAGGCTCGGGTCCTTTGAGACTCCATGCTCCAAAGAGACGCGAATCAATAGTCTAAGTCGCTACTACGGGGAACTAACTATGCCAAGCTTGGCTGACAGCATGAAGCTAAGCTGCCCCTCTTTCTCAGCTCTTGAGGGATTGCACGAAGAACTTGGGCCTTCCGCTTTGTACATAGACCAGAAGTACGAAGACAATTCTGGGGACATGGATTCTCATTTCCGAACGTCGCAAGCAAGAGAGAGCGAAAGGGTCAAGCCATCCTTGGTCCACCAAGACATGCCGTCCTGTACAGCACGGAATTAGCGCATGTTTGGAATCAGCTCACAGCCTCGAAGGCATTGCGTATACCTCTTGGGATGCTCCTTTTCATTGGTATACAATTGCACGCAGCAGGTGGGCTGCAGTTTCCAATATAGATGGTGGCAAACTGTAGCTCGCACCTGAGAATCCGCCTCTGGAGTCCGCGCGACGCATCATCAGTGAGGCTGTTGTGTGCTTATTCCGTCCCTCCTCGGTAAAGCTGCCTTGGTAGATGAGCGTCACAGACGAGGGGCCCATTCTGATACAGTTAGGAGAAGCATCGCTTCTCCGATTCGTAGATCCTTTTAGGTCTCGGGATTGTCTCAGCCCTGGCTGACAAGAGTGTGCGCCATCCATTGACATGATGCCACTGTCCCTCCCCGTTTGTTGTATTTCATCTATATGTCTGGCCAATAGAATGCATCATCACACACTACATATCTCTGTCCTGACTTTCATTTCCAGGCCAATAAGGGTTGAGCTTCAAGCTCATCAACTCCGTCCTCGGCATGCACAAACAAACAGGGCCCGGGTTAGCAGGTAGGCTTAGATCCTTTCGATCCTGAGGCACCAAACAAGCATTTAATCTCAACGCCTACTGCCAAATGTTCTCGTTGAGGCGAAGCTACTGCTCCTAGTACAATATTGAGGGGTTTGAGATACACGATGAACTACCAACTCATAATTCAATCTGTCTTAACTTCAGCCCTCGGACTTTGGGCATCTAGGATTGTCTGCTAGAGGTAGGGCAGGGTGGGATGTATCGAGGGTCCCCCTACGAAAGCGCGGAATTGCAATGCTGGGTTGCCCAGAACAGGAGAGCCGAAATCGCAGCAGGCATGCGGGATGGATGAGGAGGTCCAAGCGGGTACGCATTATTGCGTAGGTAGGAGTCAACCCGCCCCCGACAATTCGAGGAGGGAAGGTTGGTTACCCTGAGTTGTGTGTCAATGCTCGGGCCGGAGGAATGAAAAGAGGATTGCAGTGTGATGTAAAATTGTACTCCGGACTCCAGTTAGTCGTGATGAATCTCGGCTGGAAAGTGATAGTGCAGCACCCTACTGTGCACTATCTATTCGATGGATTGAGAATCGGTGGCTGTATACCAACCTAACTCATGCTGATTTGTCTTTTGACCGCCGGATCCGCTTTTTTCCAGCGCGGACCCCGTGCTTCCTCGAGTCCTTCTTTGCGCCCGCCTGCCAGCTTCACCGCTTTTCTTCCTGCCTGTCTCCCCTCCTTCAACGACTCGATCTTCTTTTCCCCTCCTTTACCTGCTTGCTGCCCGGGGGAGGAAAGAATGGAACAGACCGGGGAAATAAACCCGACTCTGTAGATAAACAAGTTCCATCACAGAAACACCGTCCTCCTGCCATGTCATCCCTCCATCCTCCCCCAAATCTTCATCACCACAGGCTGGCAGTCTTCCTGACTAAACGCTTTAGGAACGCTCCCATTGCAGGGATTGGACCTAAGCCTATCTTGGCAGCTCGTAGATTACCGGAATAGGTAGAGCTGGGGGTGTGGAGTTAGGATGTGGGTGGATTTCTCACACACACCATCTCCCGGGAAGCCCCTCCAGGGCCATCCATTTTTCTTTTTCTTTTTTGTGCCAATTTAAAGTGTTAGCTTTGACACGGCACATCATCTCCCCAAAAACGCGTAACCTGGGCTCCATAAACGGTCACCCAATCATCAAGCCACATACCCACTTTCAGTTTAAGCTGAGTCCTGACTGCTGTGCCCCTCTCCCTCAAGGAGGAGTCAAGAATCTGATTTCACCCCCCCCCCCCCCCCATTGCGGAGAGCCCCAATCGAGTAACCCGATGGGGAAAACCCTATCCTCTTCTGGGTTAGGATGCCAAAGGTTTGCCAGTGTGCTTGCTCACTGAAATAACTTAGTTTAAGTGGTTGGCTTTTTGAGGTGGTTTGTTCGTCACTCTACTTTACCGGTACTTTAAGAACGGGAGAGATGTAGGGAGTGGATCTGCGGGCCACCCGCTCTGCCTTCCTTATTTGCAGGTCAGCTCTAGATACCGACTGACTTTCCCTTCTGCTCCCGACTCCCAGACTATGAGGACTCAGCCTCTTGAGGGCACCTACTAATCTATTGATGCATGATTGATGTTGGTGGCGCGGCTCAATACACCATCTACTTGCATTGTGGCTTTTTTTTATATGCATGCTTGCTTGCTCACGCTATGGACTACTCCGTCCTTTCGTACTCTCAGTGGTGGATTGCCCAGTGCTTGCCTGCTTTTTCGCTGAGTTGCCTAGATACAAGCCTGAAGTATAACCAAGATACTACACTGCATAACAGGCTCAGATATCCTCAGGCATTTTCCTCGCGGAAGCACCGGGATTGGATACCCTTATAACTTCTGAGTTCTTCTCCACCAGACACCACGAACACTCTACCTGCACTGGCAGTAGAAGCGAAATTAAAGCATGCACAGCACACTTACGAGTCCCTACTAAGTTCATCTTGGCTTCTAATTTTAACAGCGGAAGCCATATTCCACGCGGGAGAGAAGGGCAGGGAGCTCATGAACTCGCCCCACCCCTTTCAACAGATTCACAGTTCACAGTAGCCGCAACAAGTATATCTGCTGTCCTGTCCAAGGGGGAACGAAGGGGATGGAGTGGGTGGCCCATGTGTAAACCGAAGCGAGCTGGCGGCCAGCGTCTTGGCAAATTGGGATATGGCACATGGCCGGCTGGCTGGAACAAGACCCTGTGGAGCAGATGGTAAATCTATAGAAACCGCTGAGTGATGGTGATGTGGTGGTGTGCTGCTGTAATTGTGAGGCTAGGTATGCCACTATGATACTCGAGTGCATCTGACTATTGCTATTAACTAGGTACACTACATACTTATAGTTGATTATAGTGTTGGCAGTATCGATAAGCCCTAGCGATCAGAGACAAGCGATCGAAGATCACTCTCACAGGCACACACACACATACGGTAGTAGTGCATGGAGTAACTAAGATCTGCAGTACCTGAACTGCCCTAGTGAAGCTGACATTCCCCCCCCGTCGACTACCATGCCTGCAACAGGCGCCAGCGGCCTCGGTGCCTCCACGGCCGGCCCCCCCCCCCCCCCCCCATCCCCCAATGATCTGGAACCTCAACCCCCCCGGGTCTCGATCATAGCCAAGGCGCCAAACTGTCTTGCAAAAATTCAGGAACAGGAAATCTGCCATCGCGGGAGGAACTGGATTGATTCGGAACACAGACACACTTTCCTTGTTCGGGAGTTTGATTTCACACTACCTGACCTATAGAACTAGATCCAGTTTGACAGCAAAGAGGGACTTGCTTAACTACTATGTACCTACCAGTAGAATTCTGAAACGAAGCGCACCTGGCCCGAAGTTCATGGACTCCACCTGTGTTGAGCTCGCACGCACTTCCGTCAGGGGAAAGGGAAAGGAGACGAAGGGTACTGGACGAAAAGGGAAATTCGATCACAACCGAATTAAAGGAAAAAAAAAGAAAAGGGATTTTTAGAGAATCTGTCAAATCTGCACGGGGCCCCTTTTTCTCTCGTTCTTGGCAGGATCCCACCGAGCGGCAGATCGTCGGTGATTAACATGATGGCGTTCAAGGGGATGTACGGTAGATTATAGTGGAAATCTGCATATACGGGTATAGTATCAAAGTGGCTGGTTGGATCTGGGATGTGTATGTAGATGTGTACGGTAAGATGAGAGGAGTTTGAAAGAAAGATAGATGTATAGGGATGGGTTGAGTATACTTGTATGAGCGACTTACTACCTACCTAGGCATGGCGGTGGCTCGATTGTCCTAGCACAGTGCCGTCTCTTCAATCATCCTACCCATAGTAGTAGGTAACTCATTATCCCTTTTGGTCAGTAGTTCATCAGACAGTAGGTTATATCTCTCGGCATGCAGCCGCTGAAACCAGCCAGCCAGCTAGCCCCATGATCCAGTAGCTTTACTGCTCCTACAGAGCACTACACCCAAGAAACACCTCAAAGAGGGATATCAGAAAACTCAATTCCCAATTGTGGATGTCCTGCAGGGGCAAAATCCCTTTTCCTTGTACCAGACGTTCGGGATCCAGAGGCAATGTGAGAGAGGGAGATCACGCGTGCCAAGCGAAATCGAACCCCGACTGAACTTTCCATCGATGTTCTTTTGCGGTTTTGGGTGTAGCGTTCTTTCTCGTTCGATGTCCAGAAATTTGGATAGGTTTTAGCATCAACCTTGAAGTTTACCAATCAGGAAAAGGGTAAAAGCTACGACTCGAGGTACCGTACTCAACAGTTGCGGGAAGCGGAGCCCTCAGAACTATGAGTACAAGCCACCAACACATGGTCTCCGCTTCTTCGGGATATGGAGTAGAACCGAGAACGAACCATCACCTTCATCTGGTTCGTTTCCGTAGTGGCAGGTCTAGCTTACCTTTCTTTCGCAAGTCCCATGGCTGAATTTTTTGACAGTCCCGCCCAGACGGAGACTTGGGGTTAACTTTAGACCGGGGTGTAGGTGGTCAGTAACCACTGGTCACCGGTCACTGATTGGAGAGCCCTCTTGTAAACCTATGGATAGAAACATGGGTCCCTCCAATCCCTTGGGTTGTTCTCGGAGCAGGGGAAGAGGAAAGAAAGTGGGGGTGCAGAATCGGAGGCGATTGAAGGGAACAGGGACCGTAGCCGGGGGAAAAAAAGGCTCTGCACAGTTTGATATGATGGATGGATACTTAATGAAATCAAGTATACATGTTCTCCCTCATTGGCGTGGGATTCCGGTAAATCCCCGTAGTCAATAAGAAAGACTGAAGCTGAATTCTGCAGGTGCAACTGCACTGTGTCTAGCTTAGTAGTTATTTACATGCGTACTGTTTAATCCTCAGCCACAGCAAGAC